TTTTAAAATTGACAATGTCATACCTCATCTTTAGATTTTGATCCAATATTATACCTTCCGTTACTTGACAGTTTATTTTTCAGTTAAATGCTGACGTGGCTTGATTCGGGACCCATTTTCTATTAAAAAATTATTAAAAACTAAAAAAATTATTTAATATTTTTTAAAATAATAAAGAATAGTAAAAACAGAAGAAAAAAACAACCCTCAGTTCGTCCCTCCCCCTCCCCCCTCCTCTCTCTTCTCCTTATCTTCATCTTCTTCCCCCCACCTGCAACCCCCAACAAAAAAAAAAAAAAAAAAAAAAAGAAAAAAGAAAAGAAATTCCAATTTGTCTTCCCCCGCACCCACCCTCAGTTTGTCTTCCCCCCATCCCCACCCCTTCTTCTCCCTCCTGCAACCCAGAAAAAAAAAAAAAAAAAAAAAACCCAAATCCCGTCTGCTTGAAGATGGGTGCGTGGAGAAGGTGGAGGATGGGTGCCGAAGAGGATGTGGAGAATGGATGAGGTGGAGGATGGGTGCCGAAGAGGATGTGGAGAATGGATGAGGTGGAGGATGGGTGCCGGCGAGTCGTCTTCACTACCTGGATCTCCGGTTCTCATATTGCCCTCCGACGAAAGCAAGCCCAGGAAGAGGAAACCCCATACAAACCACTCGTTGTCTACATCGATATCGCACTATGTTTCTGCTGATTCGCTGAAAACGAACGACATTGACGATGCTCACATACATTTGTCTTCTGGGTCCGAATCAGAATCCAAGTTTAACTCATCGTCGGGTCACATTAACATCGAGGATAGCCCGAAGCAAGAGGTACGCTCTTCTTCTTCCTATCGTTACCCTCTGAATTCATATGTGTATTATATGAGAAGGACAGAGACGCCGATGCAGACGGTGTTTTATGAAGAGCCGGAGAGATATCTCAGAAGCCAATTATAGCGCGACACGTGTCAACATCAGAAGCCAATCACAACACGACACGTGTCAATGTCAGAATGAAACTAGAAACTATCTTCTATAAATAGAGATCATTCTCTCACAATATTTCCTAATGTCATTTGTACTAAATCATTCACTAGTACACACTAAAGGAGAGCTTGAACCTATGTACTTGTGTAAATCCTTCACAATTAATGAGAACTCCTTTACTCCATGGACGTAGCCAATCTGGGTGAACCACGTACATCTTGTGTTTGCTTCCCTGTCCCTATCCATTTACATACTTATTCACACTAGTGACCAGAGCAATCTAGTGAAGGTCACAAACTTAACATTTTCTATTGTACCAAAGTCCTCACTGATTTTGTGCATCAACATATTTTATGTCACTTTTAAGCGACACTAGTATTTAAAAAATACTTTATGTCGCTTAAAAGTGACACCAGTATTTAAAAATTATTAAAATGTATGTTTACGTCGGTTTAAAAGCGACATAGAAATTTTATGATGCTTATAAGCGACAGTAAATCCGACGTCATGTTCAGTTAGTGTCGCAACTGTCTTATCCGTCACTATATTATATTAAACTGACACCACCCACTGACACTATAAAACCTTTTTGTAGTAGTGTTCACAAACTTAGCCTTTGACAAGGCAAGATAACACAAACACATGTCTAGTACTATAATCTCGTAAAGTGTATTTTCATATGTATAATAAATATATATATATAAGTGATATATGTATATTTCACTCGTACCTGCTTAAGGTAAAAGAAATAATATACGTATATACATAGTGTAGTACCGTTAAGTTTCATAAACAATATAGTATTGTTAATGTTCATAAACAGTGTAGTACCGTTAAGATTCATAAACAGTATAGTACCGTTAAGTTTTATAAATAGTGTAGTAAGTTTAATAAACAGTATGTGTGAGGACGTGCGGGTCCTGTGCGTCAATTGATGTGGTGGTTAATGGTTGAATTTTTCTTTAAATCTTTAAAAATAAAATCCAATCATCAACCGCCGCATCATTTGATTTACAAAATATGATTTCAAAAGATATAGCCTCTCTAACATTTTCCGCTCACCAATATATACAAAATTACAAACAATACAATTTTGTCTACTTAGTAGTTAAGGTGGAACATATTTTAACATTTTAATATATATTTTCACCTAAATAAGATAATAACTAAGAAATTATCAATGTAAAGAATAAGAATGTATAGATTGTAAAGATAGCAGAATGGATGAACTTAAGAAGAACATAAAATAGTATGAAATATTGAGAGAGATTGTTAGATGTAAATGTATTATTTTTCTCCTTACTCTCTATTGCTTTACAATCCACACTTATATAAGTGTTTCCAATCTCAATCTTACAGGGTAAGTAAACCTCCTTTTAACTACCTCCTTATGTCAACCAAATATCTCCTTATTCCAACTAACTATATCTCTAACAACTAAGATTCCAACTAATATATCAGCCTTTGTAATCTCTTGACATGTGGCATTGGTTTAATCATTGATATCCTTTTCACTTGGACAACTATTTTTCACTTCATTCTTCTTACATCCCCCCTTAATATGATGCTCGAGGGCACTGAGAATTAGATTGGCACAATGCTGCTGAAACAAAGGTGCAGACAAACCCTGTGTAAGTATGTTTGCAGACTGATCGGCAGAGGACACATGCTAAACTTGAAGATCTCCATGAGCGACCTTCTCCCGAACAAAATGATAGTCTATTTCAATATGTTTGGACTTCGCATGGAACACAGGATTTGTAAATAGGGCAATAGCGGATATATTATCACAATATATCATGGGAGATGAAGGTAAAGGAATATTCATATCACAGAAGAGCTGTCGAATCCAAGCAAGTTCAGTAGCTGTAATTGCGAGGGCACGGTACTCAGCTTCTATGGAAGATCGAGACACAATGTGTTGTTTCTTCGATGCCCACGAAATAGGGTTTGAACCAAGAAACACAACACAACCTGAAGTTGATCTCCTATCATTTGGATCACCTGCCCAATCTGCATCACTATAAGATTGCAGATGCAGTCGTCCTGGTTTGAAATGAATACCATAGGTAGATGTTCCTTTGAGATATCGAATGATTCTCTTAACAACAATGACATGAGAAACCATAAGATTATGCATAAACTGACAAGCTTGATTGACTGCAAACGCTATGTCAGGTGTTGTAAACGTGAGATACTAAAGTGCACCAACAACACTCCTATATTGCGCTGGACTGTGATAAGGTTGTCTATCATCCTTAAGTAACCTATTATAGGGTAGACATGGTGTGCTACATGGTTTAAAATCTTGTAAATCCACTTTGTCAACCAACTCAGTGATGTACTTTGTCTATGACACAAACAAGCATTCTGATGCATAAGTAATCTGCAATCCCAGAAAGAAATGCAACTGTCCCAAGTCCTTAATTACAAATTCACGATACTAGACTCGAAAGTAATTAATTCATACATTTATGTTGAAAATTGATCATTTCTCATTTTTACCTTAATTCAAACAAAATTAAACACGTGGAAATTGTAGGCGCTTATACCATAGCAAAGGTACCGCGTGCCAGCTGGCACCCGGCTAGTGGTCAATGTGTGGAAGATTCATAGGAATCCTAGGGTTTGGGAGAACACATCTGCTTTTGCTCATAAGAGATTCTTGGAAAGCTACAGCCACATAGACGTTCGAGGTAGGGCTGGGCAAACGGGTACAGGAACCGCGGGTCGGGGCGGGTAATGACGGTTCGGGGCGGGTACGGGCCGGTTCCTACATTTAAAAAGGAGAAACGGGGCGGGCCGGGGCGGGCCTTTGTGATTTTCGGTTCAGGCCGGTTCCTGGAGTATAGGAACCGCGGGTACCCGGACCGGCCCGTTTGTAATTAAAATGAATGGACCAGATTGATGAATAATCTACTATATCTAATCTGAACCGTTGTTTTATTTTTACCCTAAGTTCTCTAGTTTATCTCTCTGTCTCTTCTCTATCACTCTATCTCTCTCATCCCGATTCCCCGACTCTCACTCTCACTCTCAAACTCTCATCCCGATTCCTGGACAGTTCTCCCTTCCCTCGACTCCAATCGTCCTTCCTCGACTCTAATCCCCTCACCAACCGTCGATTCTCCTCGGCGAATACAAGTTTACAACGGCACCACCCATCATCCTCATCGGCAACATCCCAGAGAACCCAAGCCATCACCCTTGCCGTCGATTCTCTCCTTTTCGACAGCAACCCCCGTCGTCGTGACCGCCATCACCCCATCACCGTCGTCGAGGACACTGGTACCAGCCATCATCCCTCTAAAATTTAGGTAATTTTGAATTAGGGTTTTGTTATTAATTTGAATTTTGGGTGTAGGGATTTTAGGGTTTTTAAATTGGAATTTGGGATTAGAGATATGCGTATTAGAGAGGTAGTGAACGGTTGGTTAGACGTTGGATTATTTGAAGTTAGAGGGTTTGTGAATGTACTGGTACGGTGGTACCTGCACAACTTTTTGGGTGTTGAATAGTCAGTTCATCATACGGTTTTGGCAGTTAGTTTGGTTTTGGCAGTGTTCATCATACGGTTTTTTATTAACCATTCTTCTGTTCTTTTATGTATGAAGATGATCTGTTTATTGTATATTCACTTGCTGCCGCATTAAATTCTTTAAATTCTTAATTTTAATGTTTTGTAATTAGTAAGAGAAAACGGGCTGCTTGAATCTATTAAGGTGGCCAGTAGAGAAATGGATGTCTGTAATTATATGCTATTAAACTAAGTTTTGTCACAGTAAGGCTTAATTCATTACTGTTTACTGCTTTTTTGTGTTTTAAGAAATATCTAGATTAGTCGTTTTGAATGACAAGTTAGCGCAAAGTTTACTGGTAAATGATGTAAGGAAATCCGTGTGAGACTATTTGGATATCCAAGTGAGTCTATTTGGATATAGTGCCATTATCAGTTGAGAAATCCCATTCCTACATTGTCAATAGAAATTAAAACATGAGCACTCCTATCGCGGAAGGTTTTCCTCATTGTGCTACCCTTTTTTTTTTTACAGGCATGATAAACACATGCATATTGTGTATTGAGTTTACCCATAATTCAGAATTTATGTTCTTTTTGGCGGAAGTTTTATTAAAACTAATCCAAATATATAGTACAAGATGTCCTCTCTTAACTGATTTTGTTTTTCCTTTTTTTCCTTGTAGGCACTCCATGGACTGCAGTTTTTCTGTGTTGCAGTTTAAAAACTGCAATCTGTAAACTGCAAAAACTGCTCTCTGTGCAGTTTCTGCAATCTGTGCAGTTTTTTCAAACTGCAATCTGTGTAACTGGAATCTATGCAGTTTTTTCAAACTGCAATTTGTGCAATATGTGCAATCTGTGCAGCAAACATTTTTAAACAGCAAAAAAAAAAAAAAAAGGACCCGTGTACCCGGACCGAACCGGCCTGTTTCAACCGGGCCGGGTAAGGTCCGGTTCCTATTTTCAGAATTGTAATGCCCGGTCCGGCCCACCCCGTCTCCTTTAATTTAATGTCCGGTCCGGTCCCTTCAAAAATGGACCCGGCCCGGCCCCGGCCCCGGCCCGTGCCCAGCCCTAGTTCGAGGGCAACAATTTAAGCTGATGTTGTTTGGCTCTAGCAGACGGTCGTGCCCTGGTGTGTCGTTTGCCATGCAAGTTCTTCACCTAACGCTTGCTCGTCTGCTGCTCTGGTTTAAATTGAAACTGCGTCGGCCAGACTATTTATTGGACTGAGAGTCCTGGTTTGACCATTCCAAAAGGAACTCCTTTGGAAGTTCTCCTCAGCTCACGTCTACCTGGTGAACTATTATCTCTAATCAAGTGTCTGAACAAGAATAAAAGTTGAAATGCTTAATTGGTTAATTAAGGAGGTTTAATTAGCTTTTATTTTGTTGTAATATGAGTCTTTTCTTTTTGTCATGGTACAAGCTATTATTGAGAGAGGAGAAATCGAATTTAGTAGTACACTAGTACAAACCCGCGCGTTGCTGCGGGACTTGAATGCACCAACATTAACCACATGAATAAGACACATTGAACTTGAAAAAATACCTACTACGCATTAATGTAATCCAATTGAAAACATTAAGCAACAAATTTGAAATTAAGAAAGCATAAATAGCTTATTACCATCTGAGTTCTGTCAAAAACATCTCTAACGGCTCAATATAAGATACCCGGACATGTTTCGGAACCATTCACGGTAAAAGTCTTCCCACTACTGGTCTGCCCATAAGCAAACGCAGTGCCTGCAAACATCAAATTAAACGCAAAACACCATGAAAGCAGAGCGAACAAAATTTAAAAAAAAAAACACACACACACGTGCAATTAAAACAGAGAAAAAAGAATTTGTACAGTGAAACACCCCATAGGGAAACACCAGAGCCGTGCAATGTATGCAACAAAATGATTAAGCTAAGCACAATGTGACCAAATTTGATTTCAAATAATGTAAGAAAGTAATGAGAATTAAACTTTCTTTTTCACATTAAGTAAACTGTCTTCTATGTCGTCTTTGTAGACAATGTGCTATTCACGAACAATGTTTCCTTCAGCTTTGAAATAGTATTTGAACAAAAAAACACAAACCTGTATTCATAAATTTAAAACCATCAAATAACCAAGGGAAAAAAAAAATCCTAGATTTAAATTTTTTTTAAGTACTGGATAATAAATGGAGAAATTGAACGTCTAAAAATAGATATTTAAGGATGGTCTGAGCATTGGTGCCCATATCGGATGCTGGAACATCAGTATGAGTTCCAATGAGGTCATGGATTTTGTCCGTTTCAACCCACGATCTTCAATCCATTTCTTCACTTTATAGAGACCATTCACAGGCTTCAATTTATCTACGGCCAATCTGTTTCCATCAGGGAAATTATATAAGGTGGGAACCAGAAAGAAATGCTATATGCACACAGCACAGAGAAAGTGAAGCTTTTACCTGCGAAACATGGCTTCCTTGTCTTCTGTGAACTTTAAGCCTCTTTCTAAGTCATCAGGAAACAGTATCCTGGCAACATCATCGTTATGCTTCCCAGCAAAATTCTCAATATAGTACTCCTCAGTAATCGGAACACCTCCGTTGAAACCTATCTGTTTAACTTTCCCACTTCAGTACACCTTTTCGTTGTATATAAAGTTTATATAAAGTATGAGCAACTTTCATAATACGGTAGATGCACCCTTTGCACTTTTCACAGTGCGATATGAATGTAGTTAACAATAGGTAAATTTATTGCCCGACAAATCGTAAGAAAAAGGAAAAGACCAAACAAAAAAAAAAGACTAATACTCTACCTCTGGTAGCATTTCACGAAAGGCATAGTAATGAATTTGATCCGAATCACACAGCGTTCCATCAATATCAAATAATACAACTTCAAGTGGAGCAACTCCAGAGAGTGAACTTTTGCTGGTTCCACTGCACAGAAAAGAAAAATAAAAAGACAATTAGGCATAAGTACAAAAACATGAAACAAAAAAACAAACAAATGCAACAATCATTTCTGTCTCATGCAGTATAGATGAAAAGAACATGAATTTAGACACCATAACACAATCACAGGTTACGCAAATGCATGCATCATTACACTTTTGATTAGTACCCAAAAGTTCAGAATCAAAGTTCATATCTTTTTTTTTTTGGTTACTGAAGGGAATCGAACCCTGAACATATCATAATCCAAACACATTACTCCAACAACTTCCTCGACACTTGGGCCGAAAAGCTAATATCTTTAACCATTACTCTTCCCTTCTAAATGATATTTCAACAACCAGATCATGAAAAAGAACAAAAACATAAGACTAACAAAACGAAAACAAAAACCAAATTAAGACATCATCCACGTGCATTGTCATGCTGCACTCTGAATCCAACGTACAACACCAGGCTTCCATCGTCCTTTGGAATTATGTACTCCACCTTAATCCAACACAACACACAAAAAAAAAGGTTCAAAACTTTGTCGAGAAAGGCATGGGAGATATCCGTGAAGGGCATACCATAGTTTGCTCATCAAGTCAACCATGAATGCTAAACATTTGAATTGGGACCGATGACTTCCCACTCTGAGGTTTTGACGTGTAATTCATCATTGATTAATTAGTCTTTGGTAACTCACTGCAAGATTGAAAGAGCTAATTAGCTATTGTAATATGAAAGGAGTTGCACAAAATAGTTCACAAAGGCAATACAAAAATCCTTATAAAAACAGGGTGTAACAAACAATTTTATAAAAAGGTCGTACCCAGTGCACAAGGCTCCCGCTTCACAAAAATTTGTCGCATTAGCCCACAATAGTTGATTGTCAAATACTTGAAGGATAGAAAGATGGAAGCCTCCTATGCACCTTATCAATCTCTTACTTTCATAATAAAAGCGAGAAGAAACCCGAAAAATTACTCTAAAAAACAGAAGGGAAAAAAAAAATCTAAACCTCAAGAGTATGATTCTACCACTGCGCCTTGAGGATGTCCTTAAAGTCCTGTGAAAAAAATTAGAAATGAAAGCCCAATATAAGAACCAAAACTGAAGATGATAGAGGAGATAAACACCAAAAGTGAAGAATAAGAAATTACACAACCCAGAAGCTAATTAGTATAGAAAATTATAATCAAATCCCAATAAAAGTCTAGACCCAAAATCTGATTTCAATATAATCAAACAACAAAAAAGCAAATTCAAGTACAATATAATAAAAAACCAAACAAAACACTAAATCAAAACTCTGAAATTTTGAAATTGGTAATAATATTACCTCGATCTGTTGGTTTGCATCAGAGAAGTTTGGTTGCATGCAAACCCAAAATGATTTTGCACCTGCATATATTATACCGTCTCTCGATGATCAGGAGGTACCAATTCAATACCTTTTTAATTTATGTATGTACTTGATAAGAACTACAAAATCGAATTACAATGAGAATCAAATCGAAATTCAAAGATACAAAGAAACTAAACAAAATCTATACCTTTCTCTTTTCTCGGATTTGAGATTTCGAGAGCCCCATCCTCCTTTTCTTCAGTCCAGACAACAGATTGAGAAGCCCCTCTACAAAATACACACATGCATGAGTCAGAGTCGCTTGATTTGACATTCGGCCATGAAAACAAAGAAAGAGAGAGGTGGCCGTGCTTTACCTTTATCGGTGATGGGATTTGCAGAGTCCTTCGTGAAGGCAGAGTCGTCGATGATGAGTGCAGAGCCGATCTGAGCAAGGCATCGCGAGATGGTGATGGATCCTGATCCAGTTTGGGAGTTGGATTTTTGGAGATCGATTTAATTTCTTGTTTCAAAAGTGTTAATCGCAGAAAACGCAGCAGAGACGTTTGTGGGAGGTGTGTTTGGGAAGGAGAGGGCTAGAGTTTTTTAGAAAAAAGCAGACGTCGGAGAGCTTGGCTTCGAAATGGAACGAAGAGTCCAGAATTTCTAGAACCATATCGACGCGTCGAGATCCGTAAAAGCAGATTTCTTTTTTCACGATGACCAACACGTGTATACAAAGGGCAAAATTGTACATTCACTGTACATAATAGAAAAATAGCTGGGGAATGGGTAGCAGCTCAAGGGCATTTTCGCCAAAACACTGCTCGTGAACAGTGCTTTTCCACCGGGTTTTAGTATATAGATAATGTGCAAGAGCGGCTTGTGATCGAATATTTTAGTGAATATAATATTTGCTTTTACTTATGCATTTTGGATTCAAAAATATCTTATCTCATAAATTATTGTAATATTTTTAAATCCTTGTGGTCGAATATTTTAGTAGATAAAGTCTTTATTTTTACTTTTGCATTCCAGATTCAAAAGTCTCACCCTGTAAATTATTATAATAGTTTTTGAACCTTTCTCTTCTCCTTCTTAATAATAATATTAAAATAAAGTGTAAGAATGAATTTTCATAAAATATGTTGTTCTTACTATCTATTTGTATTATCTTTCTAATAGAGATATGATCTACATACGGTGACAGACCTTACTTTTATGACATAAATAATACAAATAATGGTTTAAATAGATGATAAATATAACAATACTTATTTTCTTAACCAAACTGAGTTGTAAGTTTTAGTGCTGTAATATGAACTTCACATAGTTATTAACATAATAAAAGAAAAATATTAAATAGTTAGTAGTGATATTATCGGATAAGTTTAAATATTTCCGTCCATTATGATAAAATGGGGAAAGGTATTCTCTTCAACCTAATGATGAACTGAACGTCATTCCAACATGCATGCACCATGACCCATGGGGAACCTATTCAACCATGATGTGTTTTTTCTCGGTCGGAGCAATGACTTTTCTCAGCCACGTACACGAGTCTTTGATAAACACAATTTTCTTTCCTGATGAGAACATTTAACGTAAAGGACTGGTACAGTGATCAATTATTTCATTTTGTTTTTTTTTTTTCTGGTAGTGATCAATTAGCAGTTTGCTTCCCAGGCATCAATATTACAAATCCATTTGCTTTCTATGACGGTAACAGCTTATAGAATATGAATTTTTAATGTGTTTAATGTTATCTATATATTTTAACTAAAATCTAACAGTTAAAATCTTTAATTATAAATTATCTTAAACAAAACAAAATTTCTTTGGCAAGCGACAAACCTATATACGAAAGTTGACCTAGATGTCCCATGAAGAAATCTCTAAACTATGTTATCGTGTACACTAAATGAGAGCATTGTAGTGATAGATATCTCAGCCTTAATGGCTTAATCCAAGCTACAATTAGTGAGAGGTTTTGGGGCATCCAGCTCGTAGCTTTGGATAATAGGTTTAGCATTGGCGCTCAGTTGGGTTTTTTCCTTAATCTTTCACTTTTACATGATATGATTATACAGAAAGAATGGGCATATTTGTTACCAGATTCTGTTTAATTGTTGTGTAATTAAATTTAAACATGCAGTCTGCTTCTTCAAACTTTTAAAATTGGGGAAGCCCATGCTTCCTCTCTGAAATAAGTTGTTTGATTGTGTACAGGAGTTGTTACTTGCTCTTTGAAATAAAACTTAAATATATGAATTGAAATATTCAAAATTATGAATATGTGAAAAGAATTGAGAATTTATATTATTAAACTAGTTATGGAGTTTGGAATTTGGGAATTAATTATTTATAATTCCTAGACTTTTCAAGGTCACAAATTATATTTTTGAACAGGGCTCGAACTCACGAACGCGTAGGCGCAAACCGTTCGTGAAACGGAGTTATAACGAAGAAGTTATAAACGAATAAAATCAGGGATGAAATGATCATTTGACCATTATCTGGATCTCTTTAGATATGTCTGGTGAAGCCACATGGAGAGTAGGGAGAGGGAGGAATGGGCACTGCCCAATCAGAAAAGGGGAAGGGAGGAAAAGGAGAAAGGGAGAGATGAAGGGGAGGGAACGGGGTTTCTTCAACCCACGTGACCCGACCCGTTTTCCCCATTTCTTCGGTGATTTTTGTTGGTTTTCCAATGAATCATGTCCATTATATCTTGGAAAAATCATCCTATAACTTTCCCTTTACCCAATCCATCCAAAAATGGAGAGAAAAGGGTATGAAAACCGTGAAATTTGCAAGGTGGGTGCGGGGTACGCCGAAGATCCTTGGCAGCGATCCGCCATTTTATGAAGCCAACTCTGACCACCACCACTATCAATGGACTCCTTGTGAACCCAGGAACATGTCCCAAGTCTTGAATGGGGCGGCAGAGCACCAGAGGACATAGATCGAGGTCACCCAAATTCTAGGGTTTCTAACGGGTTTTAGTGGAATTGAGGTGTTTTCCGGTCGAATTGGACTTCGGCCCAGGTATGAAAGTTGTTCCTCTCATTGAACTCTGCCTGCCTGTAAAATTTGGGAATTTTTTAAAATAGTGAAATTTTCAGGCGAATCGGAGCGGCCGACCACCACCCGCGGTGGTGCGTGGCTAGTGGCCCGACGCTGCCTTTTTCATGAAAATTTTGATGTTTTGAATCCATAATTGATAACCTTTTGATTCGATTTGATTGTAGAAGTTAAAATGGAATTAGGCCGATACCGAAATATTTTTGGGAATAGAAATGGAATGAATTGTGAACTACAAATGACTTGATCTCTGTTTAGGGTACTGTTGACCCTAGAAACTACAAAGCCTACGTGGCGCGCAGGCCGAGTATTTTCTAAGCTAACTACGTCCTTCGGTGATTGCGGGGCGTGCCAACTCGTCGGCCGAGCTCGGCCGAGGAGTAAATTTGTTGATGTTGCGTTGAGCGCGCTGCTGACTTCTGTGTCTTGCGATTGCGGCCGAGGAAGGAACAATTCTCGGCCTCTTGGGTTCTAGAGCCTGAAGACAAGGCTGCTAAGTTGCGAAGTTCACGAACCGAATTCGGCTTTCAACGTGCCGAATATAATAACTGTAACACCTCACTTCGCTGAAAAGGCTAATAAGATGACCTCGACCAATAAGGATTCAGAAATCCTTCTCGACCGAGACTTGGATAGGTAATCAATCGTTCTCGCCGCAGTGCTGTTGATGCCAACGGAAGATACTGCAAGACCGACTGACTCTACGGTGACAGAGCTATCTATGCCGACTTAAGATATCACCGGTTGCTTCCACAGTGCTGTTGATGCCAACGAAAGATGTGTCAGCGAAAAAAGGAAAAAGAAAAAGATCTCAAGTTGTGAGAGTTTGCGCAGGGCAATTTTGTATTGATTTTTGTAGGGCTTTTCCTGATGCACAGCGTCCCCTATTTGTAGTACTGAACCTCGAGTCCGAGTTTACATCCTACTCGGACTAGGTTTCCCTCTCCGGATCACCTCGACCAGTCCTACACCTACTAGGACTATGAATCTAGTCCTTAGCTAAGCTGGATTAGTTTCCTGGATATCCGATCTCGTCGAGACTCCCCATTGCACTAGGATTCGTCCTAACCGCCCTAGGTTTGGACTCCCACGGGTTGACCGATCCATGGTCCTTTTGCCGCCTGGCCTCCTGGGCCGAGAGTGATCCTACCCTCGGCCCAAACTATTATTTTGGGCCCAAACATTGCCCCCTCGCTTCTGAGGTCCTCGGCCTGAAACCTTCGGCCGAGTTTCGGCCTTGAAGAAGCGAATCTACCACTCAGGATCCTAATACCCGAGTTCCAAGGCGCATTTATTGAGCACGATCGCACGATCTTGATCCTGCTAACCCACTCGCCACGTGGCGTCCTCTAACATGGCCAATCCCCCATAATGACGTCTAAGGCGTGCGGCAGCCTGAACCGTCTTGCCATCATGACCACTATCTCAATCCGCGAGCCACTACTTCAGTCCGTGAGCCCACTTGTCATCGTGCGGGCGTCGAACCGTCTTTCGTCATTAATTTCGCCGTCACACGCAATCATGCGCCCCTAAAACCCTAACCTTCGGTCTTCTCAACCGCATTTCCCAAATGTTCATCATGATCAACAATTCCTTCGGTCGATTTTGCCCTTTGTTTTGAATTTCGAACGATTGCTCTTCCCCCTATAACTCTATAAATACCGAACTTCCCTCATTTGTACCTTTACGCTCTCAAACTTCCTGAAATCCTCTGCCGTTGATTTCTAGTGCATTTCTCCTATTCCAAGTCTTCGTCTTTAAATCCCCAACCCAGACAACCCTTTTACTCCGTGCTTCTTTCTCACAATGGCGTCCTTCATCTCCAAGCTTTCCAGGGAATGTGACCAACATCAGAAGATTTTTGATCGGAGCTCGATCAAGACCATCCGGTTTGAAAACGACATGAGCACCCAGTACCAAATCCTGGGTCCTCTCTTCAAGGCTACAATACCGCCGACTAGCATCGGCCTCCTACAGGAGCACTGCCTAACACCCTTGCTTCAAGGGTTTGAATGGTCGCGATGGGATGCGGCTAAACCCCAAGGCTCCTGGCCCTCGACGACCACATCCTGGGCAGCCTGGGTCGTTCAAATGGAACGACTCTTCGGCAAGCAATGGAAGGCCCTTGGCATCTACGACGCCATCCTCCTTTCGTCTATGGAAATCGTCCCCGACAAGGAGCTTCTCCAAGCAGCTTTGTGCTTCTGGTGCTCGGCCACCAACACAATGGTCCTTCCTCTGGGCCCCATTGGTCCCACCATCCTGGATATCACTGCCATTCTGGGGACTTCGGTGACCGGGATCCCTGTCGATGCGACCCTCTCTGGGCATCCGTCGAATATCGACCTGAAAACGCTCTTCGACCGTCGGGCCTCCGAGACCTTGAACCGTGACGGTCATATCCCGTCGAAGGAAGATATTCAGAAGCTCCATAAGAACTTCTGTAATTACAACACCCTCTATCTCCACTTCGCCGGCCGAGGAGAAGAGGACCTGCGAGAGGGAGAGCATGAAGCCTTCCTCTTCTACTGGTACAACAAATACATTTGTTGTACCAAGTCAAACAAGTGTTTGGTCGAGAAC